TTAGAAGTGAAAGAAAATTGATGCTTATCGTGTGCCTAAATTCGCTCGAACGCTTAAATATTGATGACGAGAGATACGAATTTTATTGAATTTTTCAAGGGCAGAATAACATTTATCCTCAATATTGTTATCACTAGAAATTTTCACGACGAGTCGGACTCGTCGAAATACGGCAACGGGTTAATACACTGTGAATTTTCATTCGATTTTATCCAACTCCTCGTCGCGAACTGATCCATCAATATCCTCCCAATATCGAAACTCATTATCCCATGAAGCACTGGTTCATGCAAACGGAGATACGAATTTCGACCGAAAATATACAAAAAACATACTAATACGTGTCTTTAATCCTTTCCACTCGAAGCAACTTCAACTCGAAATCTAGAATAGTTTCTCTGTCTTGTAGTATTTTTATTTCATACAACTTTTACTGCATCTTATGCTTTTATAACGTTGAATTTTGTGTACTCAAGTAACAGTTACGCCTCGTAATGTTTTTTTAAATATAAATCAATTCGATGATCATTTTTCAAAATTATTTTGAAACGTGATATAACAATTTTTGATGTCGCCTTGGAGTCGCCACTCGATCTTCTTTACGAAGATCATTTTAAGAAACAGTAACCTAACAATTGTTTTCCGAGATTATTGTCTAACACTTCTAGTACCACGTCGATCACACAAGTGTGACGCTAAGTTTTTACTAGATTTGGAAATTCATCTTTTTAAGTCTAATATTCCCTATAGCGAATTTTAACTTTTTAGTTTCAGTTTTGTTAATTTAAATTGCGGAAATGTTCAGGCTCAATAAATGAGCCGTTTATTTTGAAAGTGGCATAAGTCACTTTACCGTAATAAAAAGTGGTAATTTTTTAATGTTTATACGAAATTATTTATACTGACAAAGATATCAGTATCCTGAGATAACAAATACAAATAAATCTTCTCGAAAGTTAGCATTTGCGTTAAAACGCAAACCCTTAAATATATATATTATATAATATTATTATATAATATAATATATTATTATATTATATAATATTATATATATATAAAATAATATAATTATTATATTATATACATAAATATCGACTTAAAAACAAAGTGACTTATGCCACTTTCAAAAGAAACGGCTCAAACGGCACTTAACATGTTACAAGCAGACAATCGAACCGAGCTATCTGTGTGCGAATAAATTACCGGAGGTCTGCTCCGTTCGCGATTTATTAAGATGATTCAGACGTCGCGTAAGAAATGAATGCGGTGATTATTCGAGCGAGAATTTCGAGAAAATCACCAGCGAGCGCAGATCGCGTCGGTTGTCCTGGTTCCGATAAAGCCGCGCGGCGCGACAACGTCGCCGATAACGGCGACGGAACGTAGCGAAACGTTCATAATTAGTCATGCGAGGGTACACAGAGCAGAAGGAGCACTATTGTCGCGCGAGATTACGTGGTTGTCGTCGCAACGAGATCACGGAGGATTTTCCATCGCGCCAGTGATTCGCTGTCGCGCGGAAACGATAGAACACCGCCGTGCCGCGTTCTCGTCTCGTCGAATAAAAATCGAAAAACCGTGAACGGGCTCGAGGAGGAGGAGGAGGAGGAGGGAGGCGGTCGGAAATAAAAAGAAAAGAAAAAGGAGAGAAGACGAAGAAGCTACATTCGCGATTACGTATGGAGGAGATACATTACGGAACGATAACGACGTCGGGCCGTAGCGGGTCGATTTATCAAACCGGGCCCGCGTCGACGAAAAATCTCCTCTTCTCGCGAGGAGCGCGAGAAAAAGGGAGGAACGCGACGGGGAGAAAAAGGAATCGTTAGAATCCGCTTTTGGGGCGTAGGCACCCCGGCGGGGAAGCGATTCGAGGAGAATCTGACCATTTTTCTGTCGTTCTTCCAGCTGGACCGGCGTCGAACGAGAAAATAGAAATCCAGCGAGGGTGGCCGGGATGTTGAACGCCGCCGCCGCGAGACACCATGGAAGCGTTCGGATGCTACGACGAGAACCCCGTGGAATAACGAGGATGGAGTCGTAGTAAGGGGCCGCTTCGCGAACGGCTCGGATGACGACCGGTGCATATTCGGAGGGTTCCGATCGTGAAAAAGTGTGGTGATCCTGAATGGCAATATGACCGAAAGGATCACGTAGTGCGGTGCGACGTGTCTGCTGCGACACGGTACGACGACCTGTTCTCTTTCAGCGAGTGCCAAGTGAACGGTGGTGCGCGAATCGTGTTTCGACCTATAGAGAGGATCACGCGGTGGGGTCGTCGGGCCAGTGTGATTCGATTCGCCGGGGGATCCAAGCCGCAGACATGCCGGGACAACGTGGTCCCGGTCGGCTCGGCGTAGAATCAGCTGGCATCGACTCGGTGTGAATGTGTCGGGGACGGGGGTGAGAAGCAGAAGGGACTAAGAAGCGCGGGGGAGGAAAGGCAAGGAAAGGCAAAGCAAGGGAACGCGACGGGACGAGACGAGAAGAGGTTGTGGCGCACAAAATGGGAGCAGCCTGGCGGGAGTTCGTGCTGGGAAGCGTGATCCTTGGACTTTTTTCGAGTAGTCTGCTGAAGGGCGTGCTGACCAACTCGACGAACAGGTGCGACTATCCGCCGTGCAACTGCGACCATCATGGCCGGCTGACCTGCGACTGTAAAAACGAGGGAGAGGTATGTTTTGTCCAGCCATAAACGTAACTAACGAAACGCTTTTATTTCGGCGACCCATCCGATCGTCGTCCGGAGGTAGGTAGACCCGGCCGAACGAAACACAAATAAACTGTCCGAAAAGAAGGGATTTATAGGGGTTAGTTTAACGGGGGGGGGGGGGGAAGGAGGCCGTTCTAAATCTCGTCGCGCGCCGTACACCCTCCGGATAGGAGAGAAACTTGTAGCCTGGTTGGTCGAGCGCGAAATAGCCCATCGCGTTTAACTCGGTTCCTTTCGTTTCGTCGATTTCATTTCTTGCCGGTGGCCCAGGAGAGCCATACACCTCGGGCCAATCGCCGGCACGGATCTCTCACCCCGGCCGTTTCCTTCCCCTGCAGGATCCGTCCGACGTGCTATTCTCTCCCGTCTGGCACGTTCCTCGCTCCCCTTCTTTCCCACGAATTCATTGAGAAACCGCGGCCCGTCGTCTCTATCTCCCGAAAAATCGCGGACAATGCGACACCCAGGCTCCGGCGGAGCTCCTTTGTTCCGGGCAGGCCGCTCTCCTCCATCTCCGAATTATCGGGGAAAGATAACGAGTGGATCCAGCCCGCGGTCGGACCACGTACCACACCGCGTCACGATTTCCAACGGGATAACCGTCGGCCAAACCGTCGGGCTAACGGAAAGGGGACTATTCGTGTCTCGTGCGCCGACACCCATCCCACCCCCTCCCCGTCCAATCGCCGTTCCATCATCCCGCCGATTAACTGCGGCCAGACGCGGTGCGAAGAAATAGAGAGCCGCAAGTAGAGGTTGTCAAAATAAAAGCGGAAGACAAGGGAGAAGCTTAATCTCCGCCGCCGCGGAGGGGTTCCCGCGTAAATTGCGAGGGCGGTGCAGCCGGCTCACGCGGAGATACAGCCTGCCGCGGCGGGGTGGGGAGGGGTGGGCAAAGCCTCCATAAATTAGAGCGTGTTTACGCAAATCGCAGGCCAGACATCGTCTGGCAGGTAGGTAAGGTGCTAGGCCGCTTGTCTGCCCCTCCTCCCGCTACCTCTCCCGCCGCCTGACACGACTCCCTTCGTCCTGTTCCCGGATATTTATTATACCGGACTGGCACAGGTATACCGGCCCCAACTCCGGCCTCCCCCGGCCCCGGCCTCGGTCGAGGAAAAATAGTATGCGCCGAGAAAAATGAAAGCCACCCCTGACGGATCGCGGTTATGTGAACGCGAACATCGTTCTCAGCCGCGCTCTCCTCCAAATTTCCCGACCTTTCTGGTGTTCCAGCCGACTCGCCTGGCGTTCCCACGTTCTAGGCGAGCTCGGTCGTATTCGCCTCTTAGGTGATAATCGAGAACCGGTCGTGGGTTGTGACCAATTGCTGTGCCTTTCGGTTCGATCTCGAGCAGAATTCACGTTATATCCATCGAGTAACGCATATTGGATTTTTCAATCGAGAAATAAACAAGATAAAAGAATAGGAAAATGTGACGCGTCTTATTCGATAAGCATAGTTTTAATATTATATACCCTATATTATATTATATTATATATATTATTATATTATATTATATATATTATATATTATTATATTATATTATATATATATATTATTATATATATTATATATTATTATATTATATATATATTATATTATATCAAATATATTATACTATATATCATATATTATATTTTATACCCTATACCGCCGACAGTTCTTAGAAAACCGTCGCAATCCGGATCTGTATTCACAGCAAAATTCGCAGTTTAAACCGAGCCACGGATGCAGTCACGCGACGGTCGAGAACACGTTCACGGTCCGAATTTTTGGCCAGCGATAAAGTCTAAGATAACGGCGAGGATAAGGATAATCGAGAATCCAGGCAGCCGTGCGAAAAGAATGAACTGTGCGTCCGACAGGATTCCCGAAGAAGCCCCGTCCGCGGCGGTTCGATTCGCTCGTGGCGCACGCGGGAATACATCGGGACAGAAAGAGATGGAACTGAAAACGAGGTTCGACGTGCCCGGAATTAATCGGCACGATCGTCGGACGTAAACGCCGAACAGTTTCATGCCGATCCTAGGACTCATCGCGTATGCGAGGGGGAGTTGGCTGGGGCCGTTGAAAGAGGACTCAGCAGATTTAACGAACTCTCGCTTATGGAAAGCCGGCGTGTAATCAAACAGCTTCACCCCCCCGGCCCCACCCCCGGAATTATTCGGGTCAGCGTAATTCGAACTTTATCGGAAGCGGGTCTCGTTCCGAAACAGGATCATCCATTACCACCGGTAACCGGTGAATTCGTCGGTGTGTTTATCGGGCAGCCTTGGGAGGCGTGTTAACGCGGTCGAGATAGAACGTTCTTTGTCCCGGGCGGAGACGGGGTCCGCCGTTGCGCCACACACGGTGTGTACACCACGGCCCGCACAATGCCATAAACTCGATCCGTAAAACTGCGGCCCGTAACGAAATGACCGCGGGAAGTAAGCGCGAGCAGCGGTTACGCGGTGGAAACCAATCGGCGCGGTCGGATCCCGGCGTTTCCTGGTGGTCGCCATCTTTGCCAGCACGATCGGACGGGCTCTCCGACGACCAAAAGACCGAGATCGTATCACCGATATCAGGTCGGATCAGCGAGCTTCGACCCGGAGAGCGGGCATCGATTAGAGATCACGTAACCATCGGGGATCCGCATAAATTGCGCGGGCGCGGTATTTACGGACACAGGTTTCTGCCCCGCTCGTTTATTTTCGCCGGCCCGCAAAGGACGTCGCTCTCTGGCTCATCGAGCGAAATTTACGTTTCCTGTCCGAACCGGCGAGAAATCCGTTCGAGACGCGTGCTCTCTCGCGACACCGCGTAGGCGCCGCGTGTCGCGTGCGCGGATAACGGAAGTGGTCGTCGGGGTCTCGTGTTGGATAAGCCGCGGATCGAGTGTCCGTATCGATGATCGCCCGCGGCTCCCGGATTCTGCGAAACTGTGTAACCGAGTTGACAACAACGACCCCAAGGACGCCGGTCGTTTCGATCGTTCCGATCGGTCGGCCGAGAACTCGCGCGGATAACGACGACGATTCCGCGGCCGAGATGATCGTGTGTCGTCCGTATAAAAGTTCGAGCCGGTGTGGAAACAAAGCGCCGAAGAAGGACCGAGGGGCTCGACTGTTTCAGCCCCCCGAGGCGGTGGTCCGTTCTCGGACGTTTTCTTTGAGAGACCGTTGAACCCGCCTTAGCCCGAAGCCTAACGCGGCGCTAATAGCTAATTGCCAATTACGGCGAGAAATTCGAGGCGACGGATGAATGATGAATAAAGGGTGCAAGGTTTCGCGATGTCCGTCCAGTTCTAATGGGAAGACGGCGATGGTGGAGAAGCGGGGCCGAGAAGAGAGGACGCTCGAAGAAAGGCACAATATATTCCATGAAAACTCGTTTCTGGAAAACCTAGAGCCAGCATCCGCGGTAGGGAAGAAAGATAAGCAGAGCGGCGGGAGAAGCGAGAGAGCAAGAGAAAGAGGCGGGAAGTTCTATAATGCATAGCGGGCCCGTGCGAGTTCTATCGTGGATTTCGCATAATAGAGCCGGCGTTTCACGAACACGCTCAGCCAATTTGTCGCGCCGTCAACTCGTGACTGCGAATATATCGAGAGTGGACGTCTCGGTCGGACTCCTTCTCTCACACACATACTCTTTCTCTCTCTCTCTCTCTCTCTCTCTCTCTCTCTCTCTCTCTCTTTCTTCCTCTTCCATTTTCTTCGCCACTTTTCCATTTCCTCGCCTTGGAGCCACTTACTCGGACCCATTATCCGCGACCTGTCATCCTCTTCCGCCGCGAGAGAGATACGTAAAATCATTACCGCCGCGTTATCGCCCGCGCTCGTAATCTTGCGAAACAGCGCGCGAGCGAGAGGCGCTCGTGTTAAGAGATCGTCCCGGACGGAAGAATGTCCGCGCATCGGCGACCGTTCCGCCTCGAGATCAGAAGCGATATCGCGCGCGAGAAAAAGCCACGGGCGGAGAGGCTCGGGTGGCGCGGCGCGCGCGCGGGGGTGCAGAGTTGTTAAGCGCCCCGACGGCCGGTGAATAATTGACTGGCTCGTAAATAATTAAAGGCAACCTTTTAGCGAATACCAGGCTTAAACTCGTCGTCCGCTTTCCATGTAACGAGGCGCGACGAGGCGAGGCGAGGCGAGGCACGAAAGGACGAAACAAAGAACAGGTCGGAGGCTGCGCTCGCTCGTGTAAAAGTAACAGCTGTAAGCAGTCGTTCGGCGAACGAGAAGCTGCTTCGGTTATGAAAATTCTTGGGAAAATGGAAACTCAATGCGCGGAAACCGGCGCCAGCACACGCCGAGGCCGTAGAACGAAACGACCGTTTTGCGACCGGGAAACGTCGATTCTTGGGACAACGAGCCATTTCGGCAGCGACTTTGCCGAGAGCCAATGAAACTCGAAGACGACGCGTAAATGGATTCGGCGTTACGAACAAATGCGACCCTGTTACATCGTAATTACATCGTAACGCTTGTTTCGTAATTTCTAATTACTTCGCGGTCGCTCTCGCGGCTCAGCGCGACTCACTCGTCAACTGTTCTCCATGTCCAAAGTCTTACAATTAATTAACCCCTCGCTGTTAAGCTTCCTGTGCGAAGCACGTGCTTCGCGTAATTTCCAAACGACTGTCGCCAAAAAATTATCGATACTATTGATAGAGATCAAAAAATTTCCGGATATAATTTGAACATTCTCGAGCATCGTTTTCTTTATTAGAACTCGATATCTCGCTTCCAGATATGTTCAATAAATTGTTAATATCACTTTTTTGAAGAAAAAGTGGGCCATTTTGATTCGGTGTAACAGCGGAGGATCAACCATTTGCCCTCGAATGGCGACCCTGGGGCGCCGTTGAAAATTCCTACACCATTTGTCCAAGTAGTTTTAACATGATCAAATTGCATTATATTCAAACAATTATTAAAAATGAAAAAGTACGTGCCAGCAAGTAATTCGGTCGGTC